CGAATCGTACGGTGTCGAATAATTTGGTGTCGAATAAATCTGTGTCGAATCGAGCGGTGTCGAATCGTACTGTGGTCAATAGAGTATCACCCGATACATTACCGACCATGGTATCTTACCGACCATGGTATCTTACTGACCATGGTACATTACCGACCATGGTATTTTACCGACCATGGTACATTACCGACCATGGTATTTTACCGACCATGGTACATTACCGACCATGGTATTTTACCGACTATGGTACACTACCGACCATGGTATTTTATCGACAACGGTATATTCAAGGCTGGTGAGTTACCGGTTTCTGTAAAAGAAAAACGAAAAAGAAAAAAATGAAATTAAACTGGATACGCTGATACTTAAACAGACAAACGTCTCTGTCCACGGATGTGACACCTCTTTCCTTAACTCAATCGTAGGAGTGTGATGCCTCCTGCGATTGACGCTCTTTCGCTACGCGTATGCTGTCCGCTAGGATGGGGCATCTCTTGGCGATTTCGCCCAGGTTGTTTGGTTGACTGGCGGATGTTCTTGGAGGTGTTTCCGGTTGATTGTGCTGAAGTGACAGTGGAATTGGTTCCTGAGTAGACGTCCTGGTTTTTGCTAACAGAAGATGTGTAATGGAGCTCCAGACCGCTNCTAGCAACTTGGTACTCCATCCAAAGACTGCGTGCAACGCATATCCTCTGATGACAGTGTTGATGCAGGCCTTGATTGCTTTAAACAGTATAAAAATCATTAATATTCCTGCACTGGCTGAACCGAACGTGATAAATTCCTGCCAAAGTTTCCGTATAGCATTAGTCGTTAAATGTTCGATGTCTGCTTCCTTTAATAGCCCTGTTAAAGAAATGCTGTTCTGCGGAAAACTTCTGCCTGTTGCGCCTCTGGCGATAGTGTGTAGAAGAGCTGGTCTTTCTGCTGGGAACATTATGTGATCCTTCAAGTTGTCGAGATCTGTCTGGCTATAAATTCCTGATGTTGCTAATAACTTTGCATCAATGTAACTCCAGGTCGGTCTTTTCATCGGTTGTAACTTCTGTGGTGCCATTGTTCCAATGAGTTTGGGTGACAGTTGGTACCATGTACCTTCCAGGAAATACATTGCTGGTAGCACTAAAGTGCACTCTCTAACTGTTTCGGTCTTGAGCAGAATATGCGTTTTTGGCATCAGAAAGAGTGACAAGTTTTGATGTAAAACAGGTAGTTCATGGTAGCANTCTTCTGTGTGGCGTACTGTTACGGCCACCGGAGCACACTTGATTACGTGAACGGATT